CGAGAATATCTTACTAAGTAGGCCTGGGGGCGGTTGTCCAAAGCCACTTACCTTAACCCTAGGCTAACCTAAAATTCGGAGCAAACTTCGTAACAGCTTTGTCAGCTTGTTTATTAGTAAATTTGGAAATATTTCTTCAGAAATATTGTCTGTTTATCAGTAGGAGTTTTCTTCTTTGAAGTTTTGAAATAAACAGACGTGCAGAAATACATAAACTGAAAGATTTCTAGGTAACTATTTCCAAGTTTATAAAGTTTGAAGTTTGGTCTGACCAGGGGTCTGACCATTGAACTATAAATAAACTGGAAGGCTAACTGCTATGATGAAGGCCTATGATTTGATGAAGCCAAAATAGTTTTTCTGAGTTATGAGCAGAAATACTTGACCCCAAACGTCGGGCTATATATCAAATTGAAGCTATTAAAAATTGCTATTCGGTGTGGAAATTTCAAGACTTCAGCGAAAAGAAAAATATTTAAAAAATACAAAAACAACTGCAAAACGGCAAATTATCGGTAATTATGTTTGTAGTTTTTCAATATTTCCCTTTTAGCTAAAGTCTTGAAATTTCTACACCAAATAGCGTTTTTCAATAGCTTCAATTTATACAAAGTGTATAAAAAAAAACTGAACAGATTTAAAATTGCTCTCAATTTCGCAAAACAGCTATTTGTATCCGTTTTTTATATATATATATGGCCTCTTTGGGTACTTATAATGTAGAATAATGAGAAAAATTTCTCGAACTCAAATTTTGTGAACCAGGGGTGTGTGTCTTTTCCAACAAACTAAAAATGGCTCGCGCACAAAATTTAAAAGCTGCAATCATATTTTGAGTTAACAGATGGAAAATTTGTCGGGATTTTAATTACTATACAATTTGGTTTAGTTTAAGGGTAACTATTCACGCAACTAGAGTTACAATTTTCTCGAAAAATCAGCTATTTGCATGCTTAATTAATGCATTTGCCTAATTTGCATATGTCAGCAATATGCAAATTAGGTAATTGCATTAATTAAGCATGCGAAAGGCTGACTTTTTAGAACAAAATGAATAGTTAAAGGGCTTAAACTAAACCAAATTGTCTGAAATTTTGTAGAGTAATTAAAAACCCGACAAATTTTCAATCTATCAACTCAAAATATTATTACAGCTTTTAAACTTTGTGCGCGAGCCATTTTTAGTTTGTTGGAAAAGACACACCCCCCTGGTTCACAAAATTTGAGTTCGAGAAATTTTTTCTCATTATTTTACATTGTAAGTACCCAAAGAAGCTATATATATAAAAAACAGATACAAATAAGTTTTTGCGAAATTGAGAGCAATTTCAAATCTGTTCAGTTTTTTTTTATACACCCTGTATATATATATATATATATATATATATATATATATATATATATATATATATATATATATATATATATATATATATAGCTATATACATTTGCATTTTATAATAATTAAAATAGTACTGATTAGTGATTATTACCTCCGCCAGGAGGTTATGTAATCATCTGGGTTTGTATGTGTGTGTGTGTGTGTGTATGTGTGTGTGTATGTGTGTGTGTGTGTGTGTATGTGTGTGTGTGTGTATGTGTGTGTGTTTGTCTGTGAGCACGATAACTCAAGAAATACCAAACATATCCGTACGAAATTTTGTGAGTGCATTTCCCATCGGCTAAGGAAGAACTGATTAAAATTTGGTTGAATTTGGTTAAAAATTTAAACAAAAGTTTGTCTTGCTTTTCCCGGTCAATTAAATCAAACTTTATACTGAATGCGTAATTAGGACGTGCATAATATATGCACCAGCCATTCAAATTCTAATAACAATAGATTACTTCAATATTTTGCGCGTAGGCGGAGGTATGCAGTCTCTGAGTGCCCTCTAGTTATACATGTGTTCGGAGTAATACAATATATAAATTTACAGTGGTGGCAGCGGTGATTCTCGCTTTAAATTGTCGGACATGGCAGAAATAAAACAAGCCTGTT